TAGGCTCAGATGGCACCGCATATGTGCACGTGCTGCTTGAGGGACGGTTTCTTAAAGACATCGGGCAACAGGGGGCAGCAGTGGCCCAGTTTCCACCTTTGGTGTGGAGACAGGGGAGCCGTGATGAACTGTCCTGAACTGTCCCCCGCCACTCCCATCCCCCAGGACAGCGTGTGATGGGGCCCAGGAGTGTAGCAGTGGCCCCCCGAGTCCCTACCGTCCGGCTGCGGCGGTGGCTTCTCCTGGCAGGTCGGCTCTGTAGTGTTCTTCTGGGAGCCATCCCTGGAGGAGGCTCGCTGAGCCCGGAGCCTGCTCTACCAGCCTCACAACCCTCGGGTCCGCCTGCTTCCCTGTATTAACTCTCTTTCTGCTTAAAATACCTGCAGCGGTTTCCTATTCAATGGAATCCAGCTGATGGACGAGCCTTTTGACTTCGCAAGTCAGCCGACTCTGTAGAAAAGCACCAAGAAGACCAGGCGGCTGCCGTGGCTCAGTGGTTGAGCATCGACCTATGAGCCAGTGGCTCACAGTCTGATTCCTGCAGGTGGCGGGCTCCATCCCCGGTGTGGGGCGCGCAGGAGGCAGCCCATCCATGGTTCCCTCTCATCATCGATGTTTCTCTCTCTCTCTCCCTGCCCCTTCCTCTCTGAAATCAATAAAAAATAGATTTGAAAAGAAAAGTGCCAAGAACACTTTTTATCTATGTTCATTTTCATCTCTGAACGGATTAAAGAATATTTAAACCCCACCTGTCAGCGATTTAAAATGTGGACAATGAGTTGTCTGTTGTGGGGGTTTTATTTTCTAAGTCAGGGGACGCAAATTCAAATGCCTTCGGGGACCAGCCAGTTTGTCTGAATGACAGATGGCACCAGCTGAAGGCAAGAGGGAGGAGGGAGGACTGCGGCAAACTGTACCCTAGAGGCGGCTCCTGAGCACATTCAGCTCCAGTTTTTGGAAAACACAGCGGTGGCCAAGCCAAAGACACAGCCGGAAGCCATCTGTACGTTTATATGTTACGTTACAAAGGCAATTGTTCTATCAAATGCTTAGAAGAGAGCCCGTTGCTAACCACAGCGCCGTAAGCTAAGCCCGGGCCTATTCGCTACAGTTCCTTCCTGCCCAGGTCTTCCTTCCTAGCATCGGTGTCATGACTGCGCCTCAGGGTCTTTCCATGGAATCTCAGGATGAAGGCAGGTTGAGACAAACAAGTGCTTTAAAGTCATTTAGGTCAGTTCGTGGTTTAGACTTTTTTTTATTTTTATTGATTTCAGAGGAGAAGGGAGTGGGAGTGAGAAACAGAAACATCAATGATGAGAGAGAGTCATGGATCGGCGGCCTCCTGCACGCCCCACCCTGGAGATCAAGCCTGCAACCCGGGCCTGTGCCCTGACCAGGAATCGAACCGTGACCTCCTGGTTCACAGGTCGATGCTCAATCACGATTCATGCTGACCGGCAAAAAAAACTTATTTAAAAAGAGAGAGAGAGAGAGAGAGAGAGAGAGAGAGAGCCCTAACAGGTTTGGCTCAGTGGATAGAGCGTCGGCCTGTGGTCTAAAGGGTCCTGGGTTCGGTTCCAGGGGCACACGCCCAGGTTGTGGGCTCCATCCCCAGTGGGGGGGGCATGCAGGAGGCAGCCAGTCAATGATTCTCTCTCATCATTGATGTCTCTCTCTCTCTCCCTCTTCCTTCCTCTCTGAAATCAATAAAATATATTTTAAAAAATCAAAATCAAAAAGAGAGATGAGGCCGAACCGGTTTGGCTCAGTGGATAGAGCGTCGGCCTGCGGACTCAAGGGTCCCAGGTTCGATTCCGGTCAAGGCCATGTACCTTGGTTGCGGGCACATCCCCAGTGGGGCGTGTGCAGGAGGCAGCTGATCGATGTTTCTCTCTCATCGATGTTTCTAACTCTCTATCCCTCTCCCTTCCTCTCTGTAAAAAATCAATAAAATATATTTAAAAAGAGAGAGAGAGAGAGAGAGAGATGAGGAGTGGACAGAAATTGCTCGCCTTCTCCCGCACACCCCACCCCCCAGTCCACCCCTCCACGCTCAGGACAGTTCCGAGACTCAGTGGCTCCACACATCCGCCCAGACACATCCCGCAGGCCCAGTCAGCAGCTCGGCGTCCTTGCGAAGCCGGGCCAACCTGGATAATGTTCCGCCTAGACCCCTCTTCCTCCTTTTCTGCCTCACTTCCCTCTCCCTCGCTCTCCTCTCCTTGGTACTACACTCATAAGGCATTAGCTCATATGTTTTTTTAAAGGAACCCATACAAAAGCAATGGGTGATTTTTTAAAAATATATTTTGTTGATTTCAGAGAGGAAGGGAGAGGGAAAGCTAGAAACATCAATGATGAGAGAGAATCATGGATCCGCTGGCTCCCGCACGCCCCGCACTGGGGATGGAGCCCGCAACCCGGGCCTGTGCCCTTGACCGGGAATCAAACCGTGACCTCCTGGTTCCTAGGTCAATGACGCTCAACCACGGAGCCACGCCGGCCGGGCAGGGGATCCACCTCTTAATACCACCACATCGGGGGGCTAAGATTTCAACCTCTGAGTCTGGGGGAACGTGGTCAGCCCACGCGCGGTCACGGCAACAGCATAGTAAAGCGACGCTCAAGTGGCCCAAAGTGGCCTCTCTGAGCGCAGTGCGGTGTCAGGGCCCTGTGGTCTGATGTTCCAGGAAGTGGGGACTTCTCCTTCCACACAATCACGGCTCCTCTCTGCCAAGTGCCCAGCCCGACTGGCTCACATCTGCCCGCAGGCAGCTCTTCTGACCTGCCCCTGACGGGGCGGGGGAGGGAGGGGGGTTCCCCAGCACCCACTCATCCTTCCTTCCATTCCAGGTCTTCAAATCTCTCTTCTCTGACCCATGGCGGAGGCAAGACTTGTGCTCATCCCAGGCACTTCTTCAAGACTGTTTTGGGTTTGTTTGTTTTTACATGTTTATTGGGATGACATTGGTTAATAAGCCCTGCAGTCCTTTTTTATGATTATTATGAAAAAAATGCTAATATTACAGAAGGACCCAGAATAGTATAATGAACTCCCGTGGTCCCATCACCCAGCTTCGACAGTTATTAACCAAATGGACAGTCCTCATTTCGTTCATATTCCCAACCATCCCACCATCCCACCCTCCCAGTGGGTTATTTTAAAACAATGCACAGACATTATGTCATTTTACTCTTACTAGGTGTACCGGTTAATAATGCAGATTTTTTTCAATAGGTGGAGTTACACGTATGCTGATATATATGCGATTTGATATGTATGCTATTGTGTTGTATGGACAACAAGCTTCAAAACTTCATATGTCAAATTTTCTGAAGGTGTTAACATCATAGATGTTTTTACGCTTAGAAATGTTGAATTTTGTGCCAAAAAAAGAGAGCATTTACGGGGAGTTTTAATTCATTACTTTATTTTGAAGAAAAGTGCTGCTGAAAGTGATCGTATACTTCGGGAAGCTTATGGTGAACATGCTCCATCTCAGGATACGTGTGAACGCTGGTTTAAATGCTTTAAAAGTGAGGATTTCGGTGGGAAAGACAAAGAACGTCCAGGTCAACCGAAAAAGATGGAAGACCAACAATGACAAGCTTTATTGGGTGGAGATGCGTGTCCAACTCAGAAACAACTCGCGGAAAGATTCAACGTTGCTCAGCAAACCATTTCCGACCGTTTACAAGCAATGGGAACCATTTTAAAGGAAGGAAAATGGGTGCCACACCAACTGGACGAAAGGCAAATGGAAAACCGAAAAGTCATCAGTAAAATGCTGCTTCCACGGCACGAAAGAAAGTCTTTTTGGCATCGAGTTGTGACTGGCGATGAGAAGTGGATTTATTTTGAGAATCCCAAACGCACAAAATCACGGGTTGATCCAGGTCAACCATCAACATCGACCGCAAGGCCAAGTCACTTTTGATGGGATTGGGAAGGTGTGGTGTATTAGGCGCTGCTAAAACCAAGTGAAACCGTTAGTACTGATCACTACCGACAACAAATAATCAATTTGAACCAAGGCACAACTAGCCTCTCCTTCACCCAGGCGGGCAAAGGGACCCCCACAGAGACCCTCTGGCCCTGGGGAACCCCAGGAGTCATCAGGCCACACTGGAGAACCGAACCCGCGGAGTAAGGAGGAAATGTTTTGAGTAATGCCTGGCACGTGGGAAGGATAAGCATTAGATGCTTTCAAACAGCAAATGCCTTTCCTGTGTTGACTTTTCAATCAACATGGAGCCAGCTTGGGGTGGGCTTTCCGGCTCCAAGGCCACTCAGGGCCATTTTAGGGAGAAGGCAGGGGCTGTGGGGGTGCAGGAGGGGGAGGAGCGGGGAGGGGTGTGGGCTCAGGAAAGGACCCCCGGTGGTGGGGGTGGGATGTCTGACGGCAGGACGAGTGGATTTAGCCAAGTCAGAAGGGCAGGGGGCGCGGGACCAGGAGACCCTGAGAGCCAAGCCGGCCGCGCCTCCCCGTAAAGTGGTCAAGTCACAGGGAGCCGGGCCGCTAGTGGAAATGGCTAGGCGGCGCGGCGCCTTCGGGGCAGAGGACCCCTCCACCGTGCGCCCCTCTCTGGGGGTGGGAGGCGGGCGCCCCTCCTGGGGCGCAGGCCCCGGCTCCGGCGGGTCCGCTTCGCTTCCTCCCCAGGATGGGTCCATCCCGGCGTCCACCCCTCCACCCTCCCCAAAGCGGGGGCCGCCCCCCGACGCGGCCATCGTCCAGAACCAGCGACCCCCATCCCTGTCGCCGCCGCCCCCGCTCCTCCGGGCTAGCCTCGGACCCCCTCCTTTCCCGGGGACGAGAGGGGCGGGGAGGAGCCAGGACCCGGCCGGGATCCAGGAGGGGGCGGTGCGTGGGGAGGGACGCGCGGGCGGGTGGAGCGGGGGTCGGGGGGGCCGCCGAGTCGGCGGATGGGAGGGATCGGTGCCCGTGGGGACCCCAGGGCGCCCCCAGGCGGAAGAAGCCGGACGCGCCCCTCGCCAGGCCGGGATCTGGGCGGGGCGCGCGGCATCCCCGCGGGGGGAGTCGGTCACCCGGTCTCGCCGCCGCCAAAGTTTCCCGGAGCCGCGGCGGCCGCCCTTCCTTCCCAGGCCCTGGGCGTGGGGACGACCCGCGGGCGAGAACTGTTTCCGAGGGCAGCGCGGCCGCCTCTCCGGCCAGACCCCGTGCCTCCATAGCGCCCAACTCGGATTCCCAACTTGGGAGGCGCCGCGGGCCTGCGCACGCGCGCCTTCCTCGCCGCCGCCTCCTCCTCCTCCTCCCCCTCCTCCCCCTCCTCCTCCTCCCCCGACTTGGGAGCAGGATCCGGGCCGAGCGGACGCCGGCTCCCGCGCACGGATTGCCGCCCGGGCTCCGGCTCCGGCTCCGGCTCCGCCCGCGCCCATGCCGGCCGCCCGCCCGCTGCGCCCCCGCCCGAGGGCCCGCTGAGCGCGGCCGGAGAGGGGCGCGGGGAGGGCGAGTTCGGGGAGTTGCACTAGTTGGCGGGGCGATGGAGGAGCAGGAGCGGGGGTCGGCGCTGGAGAAGAACGTGGCGGAGCTGACGGTCATGGACGTGTACGACATCGCGGCGCTGGTGGGCCACGAGTTCGAGCGGGTCATCGACCAGCACGGCTGCGAGGCCATCGCGCGCCTCATGCCCAAGGTCGTGCGCGTCCTGGAGATCCTGGAGGTGCTGGTCAGCCGCCACCACGTCGCGCCCGAGCTGGACGAGCTGCGCCTGGAGCTGGACCGCCTGCGCCTCGAGAGGGTGGACCGCATCGAGAAGGAGCGCAAGCACCAGAAGGTGGGCCGCGGCCGCGGGGAGCCCCTCCGGGCCAGGGGCCCGTCGGCCCGGGGCGCGCGCACGGACGGGAAGGCAGGGACCCGAGGAGAGCAGAGGCCACTGGGGGGCAGGCGGAGGGACCGGTCGGGGGTGGGGGGCGCCCTGGCCCGCTCTTGCCCAGCCGGGGACACTGCCCTGTACCACCCGGGGATGAAGGGCAGTTCTTTGGAGTCAGACCCGAGTTCCAATCCCACCTTGACCATTCAATAGCTTTGTGACCTCAGGCGAGCTCCTTAACCTCTCTGGGCTTGATTTCCTCGCAGGTCCAATGGTGACAGTAATAGCAGCCAACTTAGAATAGAACGTATCGAGATAGCATCTAAACGGCCCAGATAATATTACATTTTTTCAGAAATGGATTCAGCTTCCTGCCCTTCCCTGTCACCCAGGAAGAGGAGATACAGGCCCCTTTTTCCTTCTGTCTCAGGGCCCTGACAGCAGAGGGGGCGTGACTTCCAGCCCCTGGGGGACCCGGGTCCCTGGGTTCCTCTTGGCAAATCGCTTCCCAGGCTTCCTCCTGGGTTATCAGCCTGTGCTCCCAGGTGCTCTCTCCCCCTTGATTTTATCTTTGGTTCTCACAAGGTGAGGTGGGAATGATCTTCATCTCACAGATGAAAAACGGAGGGTGTGTGGGGGGGTAAGGACCTGTCCCACCTTAGTGCTGCGAGAGCCGGGTCCCCAGTGAAGACAATTCTAGTGTCTCTCGTGGTTTAAGTTGGGGAAGGATGCCCACTGGCCTGGCTCAGTGGTTGAGCGTCAGCCTCTGAACCAGGAGGTCAGGGTTCGGTTCCCGGTCGGGGCACAGGCCCGGGTGGCGGGCTCCATCCCCAGTGGGAGGCGTGCAGGAGGCGGTCGGCCCATGATTCTCTCTCATCATGGATGTTTCTCTCTCTCTCCCTCTCCCTTCCTCTGAAATCAATAAAAATATATTTTAAAAGAATGAATTGGGGGAAGGCAACGATTTGGGGCAGATTCAAAGCTGAGCCCCTGCCCTGTGGGCTGGTGACTCAGGGCCTCCCCTCTGGGCCAGGCGTCCAGCTCAGGTGCCTGGAGAGGAGGAAGTGGGAGACTGGTTTCCGGTCAAGCCCTCAGCTCCGGGAAGCTCCTGTCAGACACCTTCCGCCTGGGAACAGGAGGAAACGCCTTTCCTGGGGCCCAGGTGCCTGACAGGCTCCGGCTGGCTGTGTGGCCTCAGGAAATACGCTGCGCCTCTCTGAACCCCCAGCAGGCCGTCGCCTACGGCCTAGTGCAGTGATGGCGAACCTGTGACACGCGTGTCAGAGGTGACACGCGAACTCATTTTTTTGGTTGATTTTTCTTTGTTAAATGGCATTTAAATACATAGAATAAACATCAAAAATATAAGTCTTTGTTTTACTGTGGTTGCAAATATCAAAAAATTTCTATGTGTGACACGGCACCAGAGTTAGGGTTTTTCAAAATGCTGACACGCCGAGCTCAAAAGGTTCGCCATCACTGGCCTAGTAGGTCCTTTGAGGTCTGAGTGTTTTTCCACGGAAAATAGCCCGGGCCCAGGCCGTGTCTGCAGTCTTTTTTTTTTTTTAATGTGTTTTTGTTTGTTTTTGTTTTTTTTTATATATATTTTATTGATTTTTTACAGAGAGGAAGGGAGAGGGATAGAGAGTTAGAAACATTGATGAGAGGGAAACATCCATCAGCTGCCTCCTGCACACCCCCACTGGGGATTTGCCCGCAACAAGGTACATGCCCTTGACCGGAATCGAACCTGGGACCCTTGAGTCCGCAGGCCGACGCTCTGTCCGCTGAGCCAAACCGGTTAGGGCGGTGTCTGCAGTCTTAACCGGAGGGCAGGTCCTGGGAAGCTGAGAGCACCTGCGTGTGAGGCTGGACTGGGCTTGTCCTCAGAGGTCCCTGTGCCCTGGGGTCAGGAAGGAAACTCAAGCTCCCAGGACTTAGGCAGCGCTTCCTTCCCAGGTCACCCCGCCAGCTTGACGGCACCTGGTGCTGCAGCTGATGTCGCGATTCCCAGGGCAGGGACGTTGGAGCCAGACAGCCTGGTTTCCAGCCCTCCCGCCCAGGGGCTGTGTGATCTCGGGCAAGTCACCGCACCTCTCTGTGCCTCAGTATCCCCAGCTGTGAAAGGGGATAACAGTGCCCACCTCGTAGGGTTGTGGTGAGGACTATGTCATGGATGTCATGTATGTTCATGTATGTCAAGCGCTGGGACAGAGCCCAGCTCATTGTGAGGGCTTTGTTAACATTGTCTTTAGGCCCGGAGAGGTTTTCACTGGCATCAGGGACCCCACCTCCATCCCAGGCACCCTGACTCCTGCCCCAGGGGGCTCCATCTCTCAGAGAGGGAAGGATCTTTGAAACCCTCTTATGGCTCTTAAAAAAAAATTTTTTTTTAAATTTAATTTATTGACTTCAGAGAAGAAGGGAGAAGGAGAAAGAGAGAAACATCGATGATGAGAGTGAATCATTGACCGGATGCCTCCTGCAAACCCTCTACTGGGGATGTGCCCTGACTGGGAATTGAACCCTGAACTCCTGGTTTATAGGTCGGTGCTCAACCACTGAGCCACACTGGCCCAGCCCCTCATGCCTCTTAACAGGGACCAAGGGGCTTAGCCCAGGTCACACAGAGTCCTAGCACCCATGTCCGCACCCCCGGCTTTGGTCCTTCTGCAGCGGAGAGGCCCCCCTGGGAGACGGCGGGGGCCACCAGGCCTGGAGTGGGTGGAATGCCCGGCCAGCTGCCCTTGTCGCCTCTGGAAGGCTGCACCAGTGTGCTCAGGGGCAGGGCCTGTTTGTAAACACTGAGGAGGAGGCTCATCGATCCCAGGACAACAGCCTTGTCCCCAGCCCAGCCCCAGCCCCTTTCAATTGTTCTCCTGGCGAACTGAGAGAGTCCTCCGGCTCCACCCCCAGCCCGCCCCGCCCCTGCAATCTCAGAGGCTCTTCAAGGTGTTATTTCCACAATGTGGAAAATGTCCTCCATCTTATCCCTCCCTCCCTCCCTCCCTCCTTCCTTCTCCCTGGCTACTGAGTCTGCAAGCCCATTGACAAGTCACAGCATGCTCCTTGCCTCCCGGGGGGCCTGTGAGAGAGAGAGAGGGAGAGCAGGGTCCTCACCTGGTGGGGGGTGGGCATTGGGGAGGCAGGAAACACAAGTGTTGGCAAGCAGTGGCTGTGTGGGCCCAGTGGCTTGTAATGTAAGTAGCATATATTGTTTATTCGTTAGAATTATTTATTGAGTACCTACTGTGCGCCTGACACTGTTCTGGGAGAGAGCAGGGACCGCAGTAGGTGAGGTCTTGGCCCTCAGGGACCCTCCTTGCCAGCACAGTGCCGCCCCATGGAAATACCGTGTGGCTTGTCACATTGATGAAGAGACACAGATGAGGTTAATTTTAATAACATACCTTATTAAAAAACATTTTTATTTCAGAGAGGAAGGGAGAGGCAGAGAGGGATAGAAACATCAGTGATGAGCGAAAATCATGGACCGGCTGCCTCCTGCACGGCCCCCACGGGGGATCGGGTCCGCCACCAGGGCCTGTGCCCTGACGGGGCATCGAACCCAGGCCCTGCCCTTCACCTCTCCTGTGACCTTGAGCCCGCTGTGCGAGCACTTAGTTACTGCACCCCTTTGCCCATGCCACGAGCTTCCTAGAGAAGGGGAGCGGATTTAGGAGCTTATTCCGGAGACAGACGGAGGCGATGCTGCCATCCGGCCCCCGGGCCAGCTGGTGACGGGCTGTGGGAGGAAACCGCTGTGGGAGGAGCCGCCTCAGCCCTTCCTGGTGCTGGCACTGCCAGATGGTTTGTGCCCATGAGCCATTTACCCTCACGAGGGCCCCTTGGGGGACAGATTACACTCCTTGCCTGGTGTCCCCGGCTCCCAAAGGTTGAGTATTTGTCCAACATCAGCTAGGACCTGGCGGAGACCATTCGATCCCGGTAAGCAGGCTCCGGCGTCCACGCTTTCCCCAGCCTTCTGTGCGGGCAGCGGCGATAATGCTGCCGAGTTTGCAGTTTTACAAAATGCCAGGTTTTTTGGTAACAGCTTTATTGAATATAATTTGCATATCATGCCACTTACCCCTTATAGCATACACCTCCATGATTTTAGTCATTTCGCAGAGCTGTCCACCCATCACGACAGTCCGTTTTGGAACATTCTCATTGCTCAGAAAAGAAAACCCGGATGGCCCTGGCCGGGGTGGCTCAGTGGGTTGGGCGTCATCCGCGCACCACAAGGTTGCTGGTTCGGTTCCCAGTCGGGGCGCATGCCCAAGTTGCGGGCTCGATCCCTGATGCGGGGCGCGCAGGAGGTGGCTCTTTCTCCTCTCCCTTCCTCTCTCTCTAAAAAACACACCCATACTCCTTAATAGTCATTCCTTACCCACCTCCAGCGTCTGCCCCGGACAGCGGCCAGGCTGCTCTGCCTGTGGATTTATCTACTCGGCACGTTTCCCATGAGTGGATCCTACACTGTGTGGGCCTTCGTGTCTGGCCGCTTTCACTTAGTGGATGTTTTGTTTTTAATATTATTTTATTATTTTTTAAATGTATTTTTATTGATTTCAGAGAGGAAGTGAGAGGGAGAGAGAGATAGAAACATCCATGATGAGAGAGAATCATGGATCGGCTGCCTCCTGCACGCCCCCCACTGGGGACTGCGCCCAAAACCCGGGCCTGTGCCCTTGACCAGCATTGAACCCGGGACCCTTCAGTCCGCAGGCTGACGCTCTACCCACTGAACCACAGCAGCCAGGCTGGTGCGATGTTTACCAGGTTCATCCACGCTGTGGCCCGTGTCGGTGCTTTGCTCCTTTTCACGGCTGAGTCATGTTAGGGCTCCTCAGCTGAGGGAAACTGAGGCTCGCAGTGGCTAAGGAGCTGGCCCAGGACGCTCGAAGAGATGCCCGTGTGAGACGTACGAAGAACTCTGGGCCAGGTGGCAGCCCCCGGGGTCTTTGCAGCCTCTTGCTCCCGCTCCCTGGAGAGAAGTCTGTCCTGACTGAGGGTCTGTCCAAAGGTCAGGGGTGTGGGCTCCCCAGAGCGGCTGCTCCTTCCTCCGTCCTGTCCAGACAGGTAGCAGGTGCTGCGAGCCCGTGGCGGACCTTGGGCAGGTCTCACCTGGGCAGGTCCACACGGGAAGGGCGCCTCCTGTCGTTTGCAAAGTTGCCCTGCGGGCCAGTGTGCCCGATGCCCCAGCCTGGCAGGCCGTGACCGCGCCCGCGCCCTCACAGGAGCTGGAGCTGGTGGAGGACGTGTGGCGGGGGGAGGCGCAGGACCTCCTGTCCCAGATCGCCCAGCTGCAGGAGGAGAACAAGCAGCTCATGACCAGCCTCTCCCACAAGGACGTCAGCTTCTCCGAGGAGGAGTTCCAGAAGCACGAAGGTAGGAGGAGGGGGCGGGGGGGGGGGGGCGCGGGAGAAGGCTGTTCCCGCGCCCATCAGGGGGACGGTCACGGGCACGGTCCCTGAGCGATTGCGACGCTCATCTCCGAAGCCTTTTCTCCTGCGGCCGCGGTCACTGCCCGAGCGGAACTGAGGGACGGACGGGAGACGAGGAGAGGGGCTCGCTCAGCACTGTTCCCGGGGCCTCGCTTCTCTGGCTTTTCTGGGCGCTGGGGACACACATTGGCGGGGAGGGAGCCGCTGCCCCGGGAGCCTGTCTCCTGTGCGGAGATAGACACGTGGACAGACAGGGAGGCCCCGCCCCGGGTGGTGGCCAGTGCTGGGCCGGCGTGGGGTCAGCCCTGACCCTGACCCTGACCCTGACCCTCGGGGACAGTGCGGGGTTCCTGGGCTTTGGGTCTTCCCTTCCCCTTCCCCATAAGAACCAGGCATTGGGCACCAGAGCGGAAGAAGTAAAACGGGGGGGCCCTGGCCGGTTTGGCTCTGTGGATAGAGCGTTGGCCCTTGGACTGAGGGGTCCCGGGTTCAGTTCCGGTCGAGGGCACGTACCTCCGTTGCAGGCTCGATCCCTGGCCCTGTGGGAGGCAACCAGTCGATGTGTCTCTCTCACATTGATGTGTCCCCCCCCCCCCCACTCTCTCGAAAATCCAATGGAAAAATACCCTCGGGTGAGGATTAGCAGCAGCAGCAGACGGGGGGAGAGAGGTGCACGCGGTGCTCAGGGTGTCTGTGTGGACCTGTGTGTTCAGTGCTTTGGGGTCTCTCCCCAGGAGCGGAATTGCTGGGTCCTATGGCAACTATGCTGACTTATCCAAGAACCCGTAGCCATCTTGTCTGTGACGTTTCTGCAGGGCACCCCAGACCTCTGGGGGTGACCTGGGAACGCCCCTGCCTGCCCACGTGATGGCCCAGAGGCCTCAGGGTCCCAGGCATGGACCCGAGCCCCGGGGGCTTCGGCCTCGCCCACCGTCGCCCTGTGCGCACGGCTCCCTCCGTGTGGGAGAGCCGCGCGTCCCGGCCAGCATGTTATGAACAGCCGCGTGGAGGGTGTGATTCTCGCGTGGCTCCGCGCCCAGAGGGTTCGCTGGGAGGCTCCACCCCCACCGGGCGGGAGACCAGGCGGATGCCATGCGTGCTGTGCCTTCCCCGGTTATTTTTATTTGCTCGGGAAACCATGGGAACACAGGGACAGCGGCATCCTTCACCTGTGAGAGGGACAGGCGCCGGGCCAGGGGTCCCTGGGAGGCGTGGCCTTCGAAGTTAGACTGAGGGCCTAGCGGAGACAGGATTTAGGGGTGCCGTCACGAGATGGGGTGAGAGGAGCCAGCCCTGCGTGGCAGGCACTGCCCTCAGAGCCCCTGGCAGCCTCCTGCCCCCGCGGCCTGGACACTCCAGGTTCTACAGCACCTCCGCTCCTTGTTGTCAGACCTCGGTCAGCGGGCGGCAGCGCAGAAACTACTTGTTAGCACCTGCGGGGACCAACTGCAGGTGTCAAGCCACTGGACCAGGGAGATGGGGCTGCAAAGATACGCTCAAGGGCCCTCTCCTGTTTGGCTCAGTGGCTAGAGCAGTGGTCGGCAAACTGTGGCTCGCGAGCCACATGCGGCTCTTTGGCCCCTTGAGTGTGGCTCTTCCACGAAATACCACGTGCGGGCGCGCACGTACAGTGCGATTGAAACTTCGTGGCCCATGCACAGAAGTCGGTATTTTGTGGAAGAGCCACACTCAAGGGGCCAAAGAGCCGCATGTGGCTCGCGAGCCACAGTTTGCCAACCACTGGGCTAGAGCATCGGCCTGCAGACTGAAGGGTCCTGAGTTCGATCCTGATCGGTTGCAGGCTTGATCCCTGGCCATGGTCAGAGTGCATGTGGCAGGCAGCCAATCGATGTGTCTCTCTCACATCGAAGTTTCTCTGTCTAGCTCTCCCCCTCCCACTCTCTCTAAAAAATAATCAATGGAAAAAATATCCTCAGGTGAGGATTAACGACAACAAAAAGATACACCCAAGGGTCTGGAAAATTCTTGGGTTCTGGACAGACAATGCCACCACCAGGGCAGGCGGACCCTGAGCTGGCGTGACTGGCCTGGCCCGGCCTGGGGTCCCTCACCTGCCGAACACTGTCCCCCAGGACCCCTGAAAGGATCAGGCGGGGCGCTGTCCCGTGAGAAAGTGCTGACGTGGGGGGGCGGAGCGGGGAGCTGCGCAGGGTCGCGCGGGCAGGGCGGGGCTCACCTGCAGGTCTCGCTGCCCCCCCAGGCATGTCGGAGCGGGAGCGGCAGGTGATGAAGAAGCTGAAGGAGGTGGTGGACAAGCAGCGCGACGAGATCCGCGCCAAGGACCGGGAGCTGGGCCTGAAGAGCGAGGACGTCGAGGCCGTGAGTGACCAGCCCCACCGCGTCCCTCCTCCCGGCCAGCAGGTTCCAGCCAGAGACAGAGCTCCCTCAGGGGGTTCCCGTCCCCCCCCCCCCCCCCGGTCTCACTCCATGGGCTCCGTGGGGTGCGGATCCTGCCTGAGGCCTGGCGGGCCCAGCCCTGGAACAGCGGGAGGGACCTGCCTCCTGCCTCCCACACCCTGGGGAGGCCCCAGGCCCGCTCAGCCTTGGCTCAGACCCTGAGGCTTCCCCCTGGAGGGCATGGTTCCCAGGCTGCTGGGGGGAGGGGGTGTCTCTGCCTGAGTTGGAAAAGCACACCCCTTTCTTGCCTGGCCGGCGTGGCTCAGTGGTTACGCATCGACCTATGAACCGGGAGGTCAGGGTTCAACTCCGGGTCAGGGCACAGGCCTGGGTTGTGGGCTTCATCCCCAGTGTGGGGCTCGCGGGAGGCAGCCGATCCATGGTTCTCTCTCATCATGGATGTCACTATTTCTCTATTCCTCTCCCTTCCTCTCGCTCGAAAACCAATAACAACATAATTTAAAAAGAAAAACACAAAACACTCACCCCTGTCTCCAGACATGTTACTTCCATCTGCTGGGAAAGTGTCTTCCTGTTCTAACAAGACACGTGTCTTCCATCTGCCATAAAGTCACCACAGTAAATAGACACATGGCCCGCCTCTGGCACCGGCAGAGCTATGTGGACACATGTCAAGCCCACGGAGACGCGGGCAGTGCGAGCGGCACGCGCGGGTGGTCTGCCTGTGCGGGCGCGGCCTGAGCCCCGCGGGGCGCCCCGTCAGCGGCCTTTCTCCCCCCGCAGCTGCAGCAGCAGCAGACGCGGCTGATGAAGATCAACCACGACCTCCGGCACCGCATCACCGTGGTGGAGGCGCAGGGCAAGGCCCTGATCGAGCAGAAGGTCGAGCTGGAGGCCGACCTGCAGACCAAGGAGCAGGAGATGGGCAGCCTGCGGGCGGAGCTCGGGAAGCTGCGGGAGCGGCTGCGGGGCGACCCCAGCCAGAACGGCGAGGAGGAGCCCGAGGTGAGTGCACGCCGGCTCCGGCTGCCTTTTCCCCGGGATGCTTTAAGGGACGGAGGCCCAGAGAGCGCTAGCCGCTGCCTGAAGGACACACAGCGGGGGTAGAGGCAGGTCTGGGCCCCCAGCGTTGTAGCCCAGAGTAGGCAGCTCAGAGGTGGTTACGGGGCACCTGCCATTCTCCATCCATTCATTCACTCACTCACTCATTCACTCATTCATTCCAGTAACTACGATTCATACTACAAGGTCATAGCAGCATTGCTCACAATCGCCAGAAGGTAGAAACAACCTGCATGTCCATTGACGATTCATGGATAAAAAAAGTGTGGTCTGTCCAATCGGTGGAATATTACTCAGCCATGAAAAGGAATGAAGTGCTGACACACGCCATAACATGCATGAACTTAGAAAACATGCTACATGAAAGTAGCCAACACAAAGGCCGCATGCTGCATGATTCCAGTGACTTGAGGTCGAGAACAGGCAAATCCACAGAGCAGAAAGCGGACGGTGGCTGCAGGGTCTGGGGGCCAGGGGTGGGGGGCGATGGGGAGTGAGTGCTAGGGTTTCCCTTGGGTGATGAAAATTTCTGGAATTAGTGGTGATGGTCGCACAACTCAGTGGACTAAAAACACCGAATTCTGTACTTTTAAAAGAGTGGATTTTACGGTACATAAATTACATTTTATTTTTAAAATAATTTTATTGATTTCAGAGAGGAAGGGAGAGGGAGAGAGAGATAGAAGCATCCATGATGAGAGAGAATCATGGATCAGCTGCCTCCTGCCTCCTGCACGCCCCACCCTGAGGATGGAGCCCGCAACCCGGGCCTGTGCCCTGACTGGGAATTGAACCCTGATTTCCTGGTTCATAGGTAGATGCTCAACCACTGAGCCATGGGCCAGGCTTGTGTGGTCTTTTAAGTACACAAGGAAAGTGGACAGGAGCCATCGGGTGAGGCCGGGTTTCAGGCTGAATTCGCACAGTTGGTCCCCTTTGCTGGGCCTGGGGCACAGGAAGGGGCCATGACGGGCCCAGGCAGCAGGAAGCATGCGCAGGGGGCCCGGCCTCGGGATGGAGGCCCTGACGGAGGCGTGCCCTCCCTGACGCCTCTGCACAGGCCGACCTCCCCAGGGAGCAGCGGGCTGGGCTCCTCCCTCCGGCTGTGCCCAGGGCGCCTCGCGGGAGCAGCGGACCATCCGAGATAACCCAGGCCACCGCCACGGTCCCTGGTGCCGTAAGCCTAGAAGGCCCGCTGCCGATCGGCCGATGGCGGCTGGGACGGGCCGATCGGGGCTGCCCCAGGCACTGCATCAGGACCCGTGGCCTCCGGAGAAGCCCGAGCCCCCAGCTGTCCCTCCTCTGCCCCCAGGCAGCGGCCCAAGAGGCAGGACCTGATGGCCAAGCTTCCTGGGAAGCCCCCAAGTTCTAAGGGGCTCAGACACTCCCTGTGAAACAGCCTTCCCTCCTCCAGTGAGGGTGCTCGGGCTCCTCAGAGCCTTCGGTGGGGCTGATGGCAGCCTATGGGCTGAGCAAGGGGAGATGTCGGCTTGAGAGCGGTGTTTATAGGGTCCCCCATGTGAGCAGTGTTTATAGGGGTCCCCCAGTCCGGCGGGAAGGGCTCCTAGGCATATTGTTGGGTTATCGAGGGCGAGATGGAGAAACACAGGCCCGGAGAGGGGCCGGCAGCGCGCCCAAAGGCCTCGGGGAAGGGAAGCCTCTCTCAGTTTATTTATATATTTTAATTGATTTCAGAGAGGCAGGGCGAGGGGCAGAGAGACGGAAACAGCAGTGATAAGAGGGAATTACTGATCAGCTGCCTCATGCACGCCCCCTGCACCCTGAGCGTGTGCCCTGACCGGGAGTCGAGCCGTGACCTCCTGGGTCATGGCCAGCCACCTGGCAGCACCAGCCAGGCTCATTGTGTGAACGGATTCATTTGTGTTGGATAAGGCTGACAGAGCACTGTGCGGTTGAGGGTGTGCACGTGCTGACTGGTTGGTTAGTGCCCTGCAGTGTGAGGCCACCGTAGCGTCAGCCCAGCTTCCATCACGCACGGCACTGCCCCTTCCTTTCTGTGGTGGGAAACCCGCCAGCGTCTGGTCCGCTGGCTGGCACTTCCCAGCTCTGGGCAACCTCTTGAGGGCTTCTCGCCTTCCCCGGGGAGGAGGGGGAGGACACGCCTGTCACATGGCCCCTCCCAGAGACTCAGGAACCTGGGACCTGCCCCAGTGACGGCAGGACCTGAGTTCCGGGGAGGGAGGGCCTGGAGGGAGTGTGGAGCCTGAGATGGGGCCACCAAAGGGGCCCCTGAGGCCTCAGGGGCCGAGGCCGAGAAGGAAAAAGCTGTGGGGAGTCAGCAGCCGTGGGAAGAGCAGGTACCGAGAGTAGCAGCTACGCAGCAACAGTGTCCCCGTGCGGGTCCAGTGTGACCCAATCTTCCCATTTTTATTCAAAAGGAAGCCCAAAACCTAAGCTTTAGTGTGAAGTCTTCTGATCTAAACTCTTTGGCCACTGATTAAAAGTCTTAGAATACAGTCAGAGCCAAACAAAATGAGGGGCAGAGACGGGGTGGAGGGAGGCATAGTTCCTAGCAAACTCCTACACATCCATCAAGACCCCATGCACGGAGACCACATCTGCAGTAACGCCTTCTGCGACCCTCCGTAGAGCTGGGTGTCTCGCACCCTTTCACTGTGCTTGTTACCGTGTGAGTTTCCATTTATGTGGCTCTTCCCTCCACCTGCACATTCCTGTCTGATTCATCTCATTAGCTCAGTGGCCAGCAGCACAAGGTTAACGCTTCACACAGGTTGAATGCGTGTTAGACATTCAGGGACGCTCCGTGGTTAACCCGGGCAGGGGAAGAGAAATGTCGCCATTAGTGAGCTCCTGCTATGTACCGGGCACCAGCCACACGGGTCGTGGGTGGGGGCACCGTCAGAGTCTAGCTGTGCAGAGGGCTACCTTGACCACAGCCCAGCTGGAGGCGTGTCCCGCACACGCGCTTTCCTGGGAGGCGAAGTCCTCCAGCACTTCCTCCCCTGGTTCCTGGGTGGGCGGGGGCCCTACTCTGATCCCCAGCTGGTGTGTGTGTAGGGGTGTCAGGTTGGGTTTCCTGCTGCCCTGCCGCTTGCTGACTCCGGGTCACCCCCTCCCCCCACCCCACCCCCTTGCCTGCCAAGTGGCCCTTCTGTCACCTGCCCTGCCTCGAGGGGGGGGTGTCTCCTTTCAAGTGTCCTTTCCCAGAACAGCCTGTCCAGCTCCCAGGATGCCTTCTGGAGCCCAGCATCCCAGCCCCGCCCCTGACCCAGGCCGCGTCCCCTTGGCCTGTGCCGCTGTGGGGTGTTTGTTTTGGGGGGTTGGGGAGGGTCTTTATTTCAATCCCTCATTCTCCTGTTCTGGAGCGTTCCCTCTCGTCCTGAGCTTTTCCTCCTTCTTTTTATTTTATTGATTTCAGAGAGGAAAGGAGAGAGAGAGAGAGAGAGAGAGAGAGAGAGAGAGAGAGAAACATCAATGATGAGAGAGAATCATGGATCGGCTGCCTCCTGCACGTCCCCCACTGGGGACGGAGCCTGCAGCCCAGGCCTGTGCCCTGACCGGGAATCGAACCGTGACCTGGTTCATAGGTCGACGCTCAACCACAGAGCCATGTCAGTGGGCTTATCGTCATTTGTCTAAAGTTCCTTTTTCTGGCAGAGGGTGGGAGGACCAGGTTTGGATCTGGCCTGGATCAGGTGACTTAGCATGCTGGGATCCGTCCGTGTGACCCTCTGCCCCCACCCCCCGAGCTGGGCTTCCACTGAACCCCAGGGAACATGCCCACGGCCACGGGGGAGAAAGGGCTCGACCAGAAGGCTGGTCACAAGTGGGAAGAGGCACGTGACTTAATCACAAATGGAAAGGTAGAGCGAATTATGCGCAGGCGCTGATCCCAGCTGCTCTGGCCCGATCGATCGATCGCTCGCAGCGGGCTGAGAGAGGCTGGGAGAGGGACACAGCGGGTCTGAGGTGGCGGCCTTGGTGTGCGGATTCTCCTCCTTGGCCGCCTCTGAATGCAGCTGGTAATGAAGCCCCGAGTCAGGTGGGGAGGCGCGGGGTCTGGTGTCCGGTTGGGCAATTGAGAAGGCAGACAATGGACAGGTGGCCGCCGGCTTTCGTCCCCAGAGGACTTCACAGAAGGGGAGCGGAGGCCGCGGGTGCCTAAAATAGCGCCCTGGGCGAGCTGCGGGGGCCAGGAGGGTGGGCAGTGGGCGTGACAGGACGCTGCCAGGAGCTCAGCAGCGTCTCTGCCTCCTGCAGGCGGAGCCCGGCGGGGAGGAGAGCATCTCGGAGGCGGAGAAGGCGGCCATGGACCTCAGGGACCCCAACCGGCCCCGCTTCACGCTGCAGGAGCTGCGGGACGTGCTGCACGAGAGGAACGAGCTCAAGTCCAAGGTGTTCTTGCTGCAGGAGGAGCTGGCGTACTATAAGAGGTGAGCCTCCGGGAGCCCCCGCGGCCCCGGGGTCGTGCGGAGCCTTCTGGTCGAGCCCAGCGGCCCCCGGGGGCGCGCTCCCTGGGGTTCAGTGGGAGCCCAGCGGCCCCCGGGGTCGTGCGGAGCCTTCTGGTCGAGCCCTTGCTCCCCCGGGGGCGCGCTCCCTGGGGTTCAGTGGGAGCCCAGCGGCCCCGGGGTCGTGCGGAGCCTTCTGGTCGAGCCCAGCGGCCCCCGGGGGCGCGCTCCCTGGGGTTCAGTGGGAGCCCAGCGGCCCCCGGGGTCGTGCGGAGCCTTCTGGTCGAGCCCTTGCTCCCCCGGGGGCGCGCTCCCTGGGGTTCAGTGGGAGCCCAGCGGCCCCGGGGTCGTGCGGAGCCTTCTGGTCGAGCCCTTGCTCCCCCGGGGGCGCGCTCCCTGGGATTCAGTGGGAGCCCAGCGGCCCCCAGGGGTCGTGCGGAGCCTGTGGACAGTGAGCTCCTCGAAGACAAGGGTTGCATCTGCGTCTGTTCTGGGGCCTCTCTCTGGCCGAAGTCTCATTCTGGGAAGGCTTCATGGAGGAGGTGGCATTTGAACGGGGCCTGCTCTAACGGAGAGGGTACCCTTCAGGACTGGGCGGGGGGGGGAGGGGGGAGGTTGAGGGGCGGGTGGCGTATTACAGACGGGAGAAAACACAAAGCATTTGCAGAGACAGGAAACAGGAAGTACAGTGGCACCTCGTTTCTTGAACTTACGTGGTTCCGGAGGCTGTTGGAAAGCCTTTTCCCGTCAGAAACCGTGTAAATTGAATTAATTCGTTCCAGACGCCAAATGATTCCGTTTTAACCTTCCTTATATTCAGAACTTGTCTCTTGTGCTGTTGAATCTGTAAAGAAACACTTTAAAAACAAGAGGACACAAAATGTAAATGAGCATTTAACGAAAAGGAAAGGAAATTACAGTAAAAAGGGAAAATTTAACGATCATGATAAGCAGCAACAGAAGCAAAAAGAACCTCTTCTAGAACAGCTTCGAAGCCTTTCCCAGCGCGACTCGCTGAGACGTTCAGTGGGAAACCCTCACGCCTGCGTATTCTCTCCCTTGTCCCCTGAGGTGCTGGCTGCGCGTACGGGTATTGGCACGAAAGGGCGTCGGGTGGAGAAGGGAATTGTTCGAGGTGGGGGACGGTCGAGAAGCGAGGTTCCGCCGTAGTTCTTTGGCTGGAATCTTCAAAGGAAACTGGAAATGGAGATGTGGGTCCCGTCCCTGAGATGCCGCACACGGTCCCAAAGCCAAGGGGTCCCAGGCCCTTGTGCCCGTCGCTTGCAGGGCCCCTCCCTGCTCACTGCCATGCCCCCCTCCCCCAGGGGCAGCCCCCCAGGCAGAGGCCACTGGTGCCAGCCTCCGGGGCCCCCTTATTCCAAGTGCAAGTCCTCCCAGGCCATCAGACAACACCCTTCTGGAATGTTCCAGCTCTCCTGGAATTTTTGACTCTTGCCTTCCGCCTCTCACCCCCTTCCAGTGAAGAAATAGAAGAGGAAAATCGAATGCTCCAGCCCCCGCCCATCGTCCACCCGAGAATGTCCCCCCAGCCGGAGTCTGGGATCAAGCGACTGTAAGTGTCGAGCTTCCGGCCCACGGCTGCTCGCTGGCGGCTGCCCTGGCAGCTCCCTGGCCTCTCACGCCTCCTGGGCACCTGCCCCAGGGCCAGGCTTGTCACTAACCAGCTCCTGCTGAGACGAGACAGGCCTAACCGGGCGCGTGGGGCCTGCCCTTGACTTGAGTTCACCTCTGTGTGGGTGCCGAGTCCTCCTGGGGTCCCTGGGCAGAGGTGTGGGGAAGGCTTGCTTGAGTGGGTCTGGTGGGGTGTGTCCTTGAGGCTGGGGGCGGGGGGTCGTGGCTCCTGCTGCTTAAGGGCTTGGAACCCCAGCTCGAGAGGTGAGGAATGGGCCCGGGTCCGCCCCGCATCTCTGCGTTGCTCTGGGGACTCACCCACCTGTCCCTCCGTACCTTCATTGATTAGTTATTGGTGCATAATGCATGCAGAGTCAGGCCCGGGGCGCTGTGAGGACACGCAAGAAAGAGCAGCCTATCCTTGCCTCAACTAGACTTACAGCTACTGCAGTGTTGTTGGTTTTTAATATATTTTTATTGATGTCAGAGAGGAAGGGAGAGGGAGGGAGAGAGAAACATCAGTGATGAGAGAGAATCATGGATCGGCTGCCTCCTGCACGCCCCACACTGGGGATTGAGCCTGCAACCCGGGCATGTGCCCTGAGTGGGAATCAAACCTTGACTCCTGGTTCCTAGGTTGATGCTCAACCACTGAGCCACGCCGGCCGGGCCTACATCAGTGTTTCTTTGCATCACAAGAGCCTTTGAGATTGTGATGAGAGTTTATAAACCGGCTTGGAGCACTTGAGCGACATTGTCTTCCCCCCGAGTCAGGGGTGGCTCTGAGCTGGGACCCTTCACCCCATTTCTCAGAAGAAAGTGAGGCCCTGGGAGTCGGGACTTAACCCAGGCCCTTTGTCTGCCACCCGGGCTGTCCCACCTCCTCCCGGCCCCACCTCTCCCCCCCACTTGAGTCGCCAGCTGTGGGCCGGCTGCCCAGTTCCCTTATCTCTCCAGGCCCACAAGCCCCAGGCGCCAGTGTCTGCATTTCTGGGCTGAACCGCTCAAGGGAACCAGAAACTCCGCTGCCAGTCAAAACAATGTGCCCAGAGGATGGTCCAAGAATAGCTTGTGATCGCGCAGCTGCTGGCCCCGAGGCCGGCTGGCACTGCCAGGCAGGTCACGCGGGAGCGTCTGAGCGACTCCAGCTCGTCCCCAGCGGACACCAGGCACCGGTGCCCCCTCTGTGTGGCCCCAGCCCCCGATCGGGGTCCCAGGGACCCACACAGCTGCTTCCTGCGGCTCAGAGCGGAGGGGCTGGCCGGAGGCAGGAAGCAGGCAGAGGGGGGCCAGGGAGGCGGCGGGTCAGACAGCGGCCACCAGGGGTGCAGCGGTAGGGGCAGCGGGGCATGCTGTCCCGTCCTCCCCACCACCCTCCCGGTTCAGCCTGGAAATAGCTGGGGCCGCGCCTGGTTTGCTTCCAGAGTTAAAACCAGCTGCAGGGCACCCAGGACGCAGCTGCCTCCTGGTGGGCCGTTCCCTGGAGGGAGGTGATTCTGCAGGGGCTCCCACCGGGAGGCAGGGGCACCCATTCAGGGGCCACACAGGCCCGTGTCCCAGGGCCCCTACGCATCAGTCTGGCCGGCGTGTGTCCAGGCAGAAGGCCCAGCCACGCCTAGGGCCATCCCCACACAAAGCCTGTGTCTTTGGAGTGCACTGTCATGCTGAGAGGGGGTTCTGGCGAAAGTGGGTGCAGGACCGTGTGGCTTGGAGCCCCTGGAAAGCTGACTGTGCCCTCTGGTTTGGCCAGGGGCAGGGCCCATCATTTGGCAGAAGGCATCCCCTCTTCTCACCATCACGTGAGCAGCCGTCCGGGGGGTCCTGCCCAGATGCCAGCCACTCTGGGGCGCACATCAAAGGCGATCCACACACAGAGACTCCCACCCTCGTCCAAAACAGTTCGTTTATGTCCTTTGCCAGCCAACCTCCCAGAAAAACCCAAAAAGAGAAAAAGCCAAGCTGTTCAAAATACGAGACAGTGGATTGGTTGGCGCTCCTGGTTGTCCTGGCCCAGCTAGGGGCCCGACGCGCCCTCCTGTAGGCGGCCGTCCCGCCCCAGGCCTGCCCTGCCCGTCCTCCCTCGGGGGCTGTCACCTGCCTGGTTCTCACCTGCCGGGTGGTTTGCTGGGGACCAGGCGGCTTATACCACAGACAGGCTCCTCGCTGTGCAGGCTAGAAGTCCAAGGCCAGGGTGTCGCTGGTCCTTCCTCCTGAGGCCGTGAGGGAGCGTCTGCCCCGCCCTCTCTCCTGGGGCTGGTGTTGGCCTTTGTTGGCTTCTAGAACCTTCACCTGACCTCCCCCTTGGCCGTCCTTCCTGTGTGCGTGTCCGTCTCCACACCCCCCTTTACAAGGACCCTGCTCCCCTGTAACCTCATCTTAACCAAGTACATCTGAGGGACCCTGTTCCCACAGGATCACCTTCGGAGGCCCCGGCTTAGGACAGCGTGGGGGGGGGGGGGACACAGCTCCGCCGTCACACGGGCCGGGCCGCCCTCCCGGTGTGCGTGGGGCGGGCCTCCTTCCGTGCCTCCTGCTCTTTCATCGCTGTCTGTCTGTCTGTACTTTTCCGAGCAGGATCTTTACAGCCATAATGCCCATGGTAGCGGCTGGACTGATCCTCGACGACCCCACCCTGCAGCCCGTGCGACGACTCGTGTCCCTCGTAGGCACTGGGTGTTTCTGATCTGGTTTTGAGCTTGGCCTGGGGCGTGTGTGCTGCTGCGGCTGCCGCTGGGCTGGCCCGTGCCCTTGGCCGCACTGGCTGCATGGCCGCCACCTGCGTGTCCCCGGGGCAGTGGGTGTGGAGCGCGGTCTCAGACGTGCCGCTCACGGCGGCCGGCCTCGTGAGGCCCGGGCGTCCCGGCTCTGCCCACCGATAACTCTCTCTGTCTTTTCTGTTTCTGTTCTAAACCCACCTTGTCCGTGGTCCAGTAAAGAAGGTCCTTTAAGTGACGGGTCAGTAACCACGCCCACTGCGACCCCCAGCCCTCGCCCACCCCCGCGACACTAACACGTGTTCTCAGTCTTCACGCCCAGCTTTCTAAACTTCTGTGTTTGCCAAGCTGACAGCAGGAAGCTAGTCGATCTGGCTTTTTAAAAAAAATATTTTTAATTGATTTATATAGAGAAACATCATGAGACGGGAACATCATCGATCGGCTGCCTCCTGCACGCCCCTCACTGGGGATGGAGCCCGCTACCCGGGCCTGTGCCCTGACCGGGAATCGAACCCTGACCTCCTGGTTCATAGGCTGATGCTCAACCCCTGAGCCACACCAGTCGAGCTGATCTGGCTTTTTGTGTGTTTTTTGTGTGTGTTTTTTTAAAGGAAAAGCAACGGGGGGACCTATGTGCTGATTCCCTCTGGGTCCCCTTGGACGGAAGTGGCACGTGGCTGGCCTGCTTACCTGAGGGGGGCGGAGAGGGCACGTGACAGCTGTGTGGCTGCTGTGTTTGTGGCCGGCTTGTTGCCCTGACGACCCCTGGAATGAGCTCACACGTGGCCCGGGGTGCAGGCTATGCCTCCGTCAGCCCCTCGCGCACCTGTCACGGAAGAGGTCGTAGCCGGGAGGGAGGGTTTCCCGACAGATCCACTCGCCCCAGGCCTGCGAGGAAGGACCACGTATTCCCGCTGGGAGGTGGTTGCAGGGCCGAGTAGCCATGGAAGAGGCCAGTCATGTCACCCAGATGGGACTCACACTGAGCCCCATGGGCCACAGCACACGCACACACACACACACACACACACACACACAGCGAACAGGCGAGCAGACAGGGAACCACACACAGTGGATCTGCAGCTGGGGTTTCTCGGTGGCTCCTCCCTGTCCCTGTGCCCGGGAAGCGTGGCTGAGCAGTTGGGTCGCTGACCAAGGTCAGAAACCACGACTCAGGAGAACTTGGTGAGGCTCAAAGGAACCTGTTGGAGGCGGGGAGTGCGGAAAGAGGTTAGAAGCCCTCCAGGGGCCAGCCAGGTGGACGGTCGGGCCCAGGTCTCTGCCCAGGAGGAGGCCGCAGACCTCGTTGGAAACGGCCTGTGATGCCACCTTCATCTTCTGGGCATTGGCTGGTGCACTCCGATGGGTCAGTGATCAGTAGGCAGCTGTTTTCAAAAGGCCTCGTGGTCTACATTCAGGTTTTTTTTTAATATGTTTTTATTGATTTCAGAGACTGGAGAGGGAGAGAGAAACATCAATGAAGAGAGAGAACCCTGGATCGGCTGCCTCCTGCACGCCCCACACTGGGGATCGAGCCCGCAACCCGGGCACGTGCCCTGACCGGGAATTGAACTGGTGACCTCCTGGTTCATAGGTCGACGCTCAGCCGCTGAGCCACACTGACCAGGGCCAGGCTACAGTTGCTGTTTCTCACAAGGTGACAGCTCCGCCAGGCTTCCACCATAAGTCAGTTTTTGACGCTCCAGAATGACGTCTCCCAGGTTGCACTCACGTCCGATAGTCGCGGTGTTTCCCTAATCGGAGAGCCACATGTCCCGTCCGTGGGTTTTTAATCGTCTCATTTTCCTTACGTCCCTGCTTTTGCCTCCTCCCGAGCAGTAACATCCAGGCCAGCTGGGCTCTGAGGTGTGCTGATTCGTTCCATAAACACATCGTAACTACATACGGAAACGTCCCCTGCTCGCCCCACGCCTCTCACACGCGTGGCCTCAGGCTCAGCGCCCCGCCTCCTGAGGCTGAGGCGGCCGAGAGGAGGCTTCCAGCAGCCCTTCGCCTCCACCAGCGGGGCGGCCCTCCTAGGGGGCGGGAGGAGGTGGTGCGCTCCCCATCCACACCGTCCCCTCCAAGGGGCCGTGACCGTGACACCAATCCCTGCTGCTTTCCAGCTTAACTCCGCCCGCACCCCCTGTGCTCCTTCCTCCCGGGCCTGGGTTTGCTCCGCCCGCCCGTTTGCCGCCCTGTGCCCCGAGGGCGGCCCTCACGGCTCTCTTCCCCCGCAGGTTTAGCTTCTTCTCCCGGGATAAGAAGCGCCTGGCCACCACGCAGCGGGGCCCGCACGGCCAGGAGTCCTTCGGCCAGTGGGCCCGCGCCCACCGGGACGACGGCTACACGGAGCAGGCACAGGAGGCCCTGCAGCACCTGTGAGCCGGCCGCCCGCCCTCGGACCCGCGCCCGCGCCCGGCGCCATGGGCCTGCCACGGACCCGGCGGCCCAGGGCTCGCGGCCTCGCACGCCCCTCGGGCCAGGTGCCCCTCCAAACGGAGCCTCAGACGGACTGTCCGCGCCGAGGAGGCACGTGGAAAACTTGCCAAACGCTGCGGAGTGTGTGTGGACACCAGGCCCTCCCGTGTGTCGTGGGCGACTGTGGCCCCTCGGTTTCTATTTAATACGCGCGTGCGTGTGCGCGGAGGCCAGACTTCTGCATTAACTCAGTAACACAAGCTTCTTTACGCCAAATACACCCCTTGCCGCTGTTGAACTGCCGCGTGGCTGCTGGGGGGATTCTAGGCCAGGGGTCCCATGGTCGCCTTGGCCTTTTTTTTTTTCTGTCCTCACCAGAGGGCATTTTTCCACTGATTTTTAGAGAGAGTGGAAGGGAGGAAGAGAGACAAGAGAAAGAGACACACATGGATCAGTTGCCTCCCACATGGTCCCCCGTCGGGGATCAAGCCTGCAACCAAGGCACCAGCCCACCCCCTTCAGTCCGTGGGCGACGCTCTGTCCACTGAGCCAACCGGCCAGGGCTCACCTGGCGCGTCGAGTGGCACGCACTGAGGCGTCCCACCTGGAGGTGGCTCAGACAGGGCCTCAACTGGGGGAAATGGTTCGAACTCCACCTGACCTTGTCCTTCACATGCAAGGGCAGGGCCACTTCGTTACATACTGGACTCTGGTTGCTAAGAAACCAGCCATCAGTCAGTTCTCCCTCCAGACTCTGTTTCCAAATTGCTGGAGAGAACCATCAGGAAAGCTTCTGTAGGGCAGGGTGGGGCCTCCTTCTGCCCAGGGCCATTGGACATTCATTACATCACTATCAGGCCATACGAAATTATCAGCGGAAAAATTAGCCTGCTCTATTTGGTCAAACATTTAATTAACTCACCCCTAGTGCCTTGGCAGGGCCCGATTTCGAGGAGCTCATACAGCCCTCGGGCGGGACGTTCCCCACCCTGCTGTAGAGCCTGCTTTTCAGAGCTTACTGCCCATTGGAATGACTAGAGGCTCAGTGCACGAATTCATGCACCGGTGGGGTCCCTCGGCCTGGCCTGCGGGGATCCGGCCGAAACCGGCTCTCCGACATCCCCCCAAGGGGTCCGGATTTCGAGAAGGAGGTTCTTGGGTGACGCATCCCGGAATTGGGCTTTCTCCTCTCTGGTTCTGGATGCATTACCCGAAAACCACAGCTGCCAAGTCACTGCAGCTCTGCAGGCTCCTGCGTTGAGCGTCCGCCCCCTGGTGGTCATTGTGCATCATAGCTTCTGGTCGGACGGTCGCTTAGGTTTTTATAGATGTAGATTCCCAGAGAGTGAAAAGCACACGCACCAAGGAATCTCCCGCCCGCACCCTCCCTCCGCCACCTTTAGTGACCCTCCCATACCCAGCTCCCTGGGCACTGCCTCCTGTCTCCCCCCTGACTGTACTCTCCTGAGTCTCCTTTCTTCTTGGTCTTGGGCACGAACTCTTGGCCAGACCTTCTGTCTTCAAGAACCTCATCTCAGCCCTGGCTGGTTTGGCTCAGTGGATAGAGCGTTGGCCTGCAAACTGAAGGGTCCTGGTGGGGTCGTGTGCAGGAGGCAACCAATCGATGTGTTTCTCTCACCTCGATGTTTCTCTCTGTCCTTCCCTCTCTTTTCTACTCTCTCTCAAAAAGAGAATCATCCAGCCCCAAATGTCCACAGTGCTGAGCTGGGGAAACCCAGTCCACAGTGTACATGTCTAAGTGGTCCGGGCCCCGATGGGACCGCTTCCCTCCCGCCTCCCTGCCTGCACAGCGCCGCCACCTTCTCGTGCGAGTCCGTCTGCAGAGCAAACCAGAAGCAGGACAGAGGGTGTACGGCTGTGTCATGGTGATGGCGGCTACTAAAGGCTCTGCTATGGGTGGGGGGGATGTCACCCTTTTTTTTTTTAAGTTACCAGGGTCTATGCAAGACTACGTCCAGAGATGAGGTCTGAGCATGAGTGTCTTTTAATGTGTTTATTGATTTTTAGAGAGAGGGAGAAAGAGCTAGAAACATCAATGAAGGAAACGGCAACATGGATCAGCTGCCTCCCGCACGCCCCCTGCTGGGGAACTGAGTCCACAGTCCCAGGCATGTGCCCCGACCAGAGTTCGGCCGGAAACCTCGGGGCAGAGGTTGATGCTCAACCACTGAGTCACACCAGCCAGGCTGTATTGTTCTGTTTGTTTTATAATATATTTTTATTGATTTCAGAGAGGAAGGGGAAGAGAGAGAGAGAGAAACATCCACGACAAGAGAGAATCATGGATCGGCTGCCTCCTGCAAGTCCCTCACTGGGGATCGAGCCCACAACCCACACATGTGCCCTTGCCCGGAATTGAACCTGAGACCTTTCAGTCCGCAGGCCGACGCTCTATCCACTGAGCCAAACCGGCTGGGGCTATTTTTTAATTCTTACCCGAGGATATTTTTTCCATTGATTTCTAAAGAGAGTGGAAGGGAGGGAGTGGGGAGAGAGACATCAGTTGGTTGCCTCCCGCACCCACCCTACCGGGCTGGGAAACCCATGTCCATGCCCTTGACCGGGAATCAAACCTGCGACCCTTTGGTCCACAGGACAACACTCTAGCCACTGAGCCCAACCGGCCAGGGCTCGTTTTTAAATCCACCATATTCTGATACTCAGGGCTGCAACACCTCAATTGAATTGGTTTCTCACGCCACCTCCCGACACATGCCTCCCTGATGGGAAGCAGTCGTCCGGATAAAGTCCCTGCAGCTCTAGCCCGTGGCGGGCTTTTGGCCCGTGAGACACGGGCGAACCAGGAAGGCTTTCCTGTGGGGCTCTAGTCTAAGCCCTGGACATTTACAAAGAAAAGGGCCTGTTTTCCTGAAACTGTGCTAACAGCCGACAGTCATGGAAAGACCCAGCGGGCTCCCCAGGGAACAATGAGATCCGTACCCCTAAGGCAAAACCTGCGAACGTGTGTGCGAGTCTTGATGTTGCCAGACATTCATTCTGCACCAAACATCTTCAGTTTAAAAAAACCTGAGCTTTCAAGACAAACTTGCCCAATGTCGCCTTTATGATATCGCAGGACGGGCTGGTGCCCACTTAGAGCCCTCAGGAGCGGAGGTCAGTATACCCAGCTCTTACACAAAGGCCTGGGGGGCAGGAGGGAAGCCACCTTCGGGACTAGGTACAAACCTGCCATTGATTTATCTTCACTTTCATTTCGCTCTTTTTTTAGAGAGTTTTTTTTAGTTTATTTGAGCCAAACTGTTGACAATTGCTGTGAAGCAGAATCTCAAAGGACTGAGATAATGCTCTGGAGAATGCTTGTTTGTTTTTCACCTTGTTTTATGCATCACAGTCAAGAGAGATTTAAGTGGGTCACACGAACTCCATTGGCGATAGATGAGGGAGGCAGGAGAAAGCACAGCGAGGGGGAGGGGAGACCCCTGGGATTGGGTAAAGAGGGGATGTGTGGTTTCCAAGGAGCGGTGCCTGTGCTTTGAGGGGTCCAGGAAAAGGAAAATGACTGACATTCCAAGGATGAGGGGCCCGCGGGCAGAGTGAGAAGAGCATTTCTTGTTTAACGTCTAAGTGCGTTAGACATCTAACGTCACCATCACCATCACCACATCAGTCAGCAGAGGAAGGGAGAGGGAGAGAGAGAAACATCAACGAGGGGAGAACCATGGGTCGGCTGCCTCCTGCACGCCCCCCACTGGGGATCCAGCCCACAACCCAGGCAGGTGCCCTGACGGGGAATCGAACCGTGACCTCCTGGTACACGCATCGATGCTCACCTCGAGCCACCAGAACAGACCTGTACTCGGCACTCCCAGTGCGAGGCCAGTCCCGTGACCTCCTGGTACACGCATCGATGCTCACCTCGAGCCACCAGAACAGACCTGTACTCGGCACTCCCAGTGCGAGGCCAGTCCCGGAGGCACCTTTTGTTGGAAATGCTAATAAGAGGTTTATACTCAATAGAAATTCTACTCCCAGAGAAAACTGGGTGGTTCCCGCCTCAAGAAACTTATTTCTGAACGGGCTGAAACTGACCAGGGTGCGGCGCATGGGGGAGGGGCTTCTCTCCGACGGAATGGCCGCGGCAGGGGCTGGCCGGCCCTGAGCCCAGGCGCTCCTGGGTCACCACGTCCCACTCCCTGGCCTGTGTTCCAGCTCCAGGTGGCCCGGCAGCTGCTGCCCAGCCCGGGGTTGTGTCCGCGTCCCAGCAGGGGCGGCAGGGAGCTGGTGGGGTGGCGCCTAAACCCCGCAGACGACATGAGCCGCAGCTGCCTCGCCTGGCCTCACCCGCCGGCCGCCAGGCTCCGGGGCAGCCGAGGCTCTCATCAGACAGACTGGGGTCCTCTCGGTGAGGAGGAAGGGGGAGGGCATCCCAGCGGGGCCGCAGCCGTGTCTGCCATCACCCCCTGGTGCAGGGGTGCTGTTGTGTAGCAGGTGATCGCGGAGCCTATCGATGCCAGATGCATGGCTTTTCTAGCGCTCCTGGAACAAATTACCAGAAACCTAGCTGCTTGAACCAGTACACGTTTATTAGCTCACGGCTGCCGGGTCAGAGGGCCAGCCGGCGTGGCCGGGCCTCCTGCTGAAGGCCTCACACGGCTGAGGTCCAGGTGCTTCGGCCCTACCAGGAAGACCCACCCCGTGTCCATTCAGGCTGTCGGCAGAATTCAGTTCCTTGCAGGTGCATGGCTGCGGCCCCGCCCCCTTCATCGTCAAAGCCAGTGACAGCGCGTGGAGTCCTTCCGCTCTGGGTCTGGCTTCCCCTTCCCGCACCCCCCTGACTACTTGGAGAAAATTCTCTCCCCTTTAGGGCTCAGGTGGTTTCCTTGGACTCACCCAGATAACCCATGGTCGTCTCCCTAATTACCTCCTGTAAGCTTAGTTGCATCTCCCCAGGGACTAGGCCGTGTAACAGCTGTTCCCAGGGCCGGGGATTGCAGCGCAGGCATCTCTGGAGCCCTCCGACGACCACCAAGTACAGCGTCAGGAAGGAGGCACGCAGCAGTGGCTAAAGCCGCCACTCTCACGGGGCTTGTCCCCTAGGAAGGAAGGCTAACTCACAAATAGAGATACGGCCACGGCCTCGGCGGACAGGACCCGACAGCCAGGAGCGCGGGGGCCTTTCCCAAGGAACTGAGAATTCCAGGACCAAGGCCGCGCCAGGGCCAGGAGCCAGGGCCAGGAGCGTGGCCTGGAAGGTCAGTGCACTGGACCAGAGAAGAAGAGAGAGGGTGGTGCACACCGGGGGAGGGGAGGGGGGGG